GCAACCATACTGAGTGATTCATCGGCAACCATCCTGTGACTCCAATTCCAGGAGGAATCTTGTGCCTTGTGGACATCTGTAGTCATTTGCAAATATTCTCCACATACATATGCATCGTTAAAGATAAAATTTTAAAGTATATGAATATGCATTGTTAAATACCAGCCTTGGAGAAATGGTCAAATTCTTTTAAGTGCCTGCCCGTGAAGTCAGTTGTTGGGGGGTTGGTTTTGAGGTTAGCAATGGTTCTTAGGAAGCAATTTCAGTTTCATTAGTTGATCTCATTGCTCGTGTGTGGATGCAATTTTGACAAAATGACGTCTTCCCCCCAAAAATCCACCTAAATGTTCCGATTTCAGTCTCAATATAAGTAAGCATTTCAGTCTCCTTACCTGGAAAATCTTTATTTGAAATAGATTATGACTCTTCCTGGCTTAGCATTTTTCTTTCAAAGCAAAGTGGGTGGACTTATATTTGATATGTGGCTGGATTGTAGTGGGAGAAGCCCATCTATTATCTTATTTAAGCTGAAGCTCGCAGAACCCTGCCCTGAGTATATGAATGTTTACATGTTTACATTCATATACCACACACAAACAGCTGTCAATGTACTAGAGCTACAATGAACAGCTATAGGCTCAGAGGCATGATTATATATGGCTTAGAAAATGATGCCATTTTGGGTAGGAGTGATAGCTTATTTGAGAAGCACAAGGACCTGAGTTTGGTCCTCAGATCCAACATTAACAATGGATATGGTGCTATGTGTTTACAGGCCCAGTTCCAGGGAGGCACAAACAGCTGCAGGCTTCCTGGTCACAGCCCTAGCCTACCTGGCAAGTTCTAGGCTAATGAGAGACTGCCAGAAGAGTACACAGCAGCTCCTGAGGAATGACATCCAGTTAGCCTCTGATCTCTACATGTGTGCAACACACACACACTCACTCATATGCTCACACACACTTACACATGCACACACAGTCATATACTCAAACACACTTACACATCTATACATACCCTCATACACACACACACTCACATACACTTATACACTCACACACTCATACACTCACACACACTTATACATGTACACACAGTTATATACTCAAACACTCTTACACATCTACACATACCCTCATACACACACTCACTCACACACACTTATACACTCACACATACTCATGCATTCACACAAGTCACACATGCACACACTCTCTCACACTCACACATGCACACTCACACATACTCTCACACACTCACACATATATACACACACGCACACTCACATATTTCTCTCATAACACTCACTTGTACACACTCACATACACTTACACACATATTCAAATATGCAAACTCACACATACTTTCACACACATACTCACACTGGCACACACACACATATACTCATATACTCCACAGGCTCACAGCTGTACATACTCACACTCTCATACATGTATGTACACTCACCTATACTCCTTCACACACTCACTTGTACACACTCTCACACACTCACATATACATGCTCATAATACTCTCTCACACACTCACACTTGCACAAACTTACACACACATATACACTTACACATGCACACACACTCACAGTCTCATACACACCCACTCACAGACACTCAAATCAAATGACTAGAAAATACTTTCAGCTGCTAGTTGTGATTTTCCCTACTATGCTAAGCTCACTCATCTGAGTACAATGTAACCATTGTATAGTTTTGTAAGAGCTTGGACTACCACTAGTACATTTTTTTAAAAAAAAATCCATATGTTGTTTCTATTCATCTGACTGCAAATGCTTGCACATGACGGCTACTATGATGGCTGCAGCAAAAATCTTTTATTGACATATTTAACAGGATTTAAAATATATTCATAGGAAGGGTGCATTGTTTGTATTTGGCACCCTCAATTTTTAAAAATGCATGGAACTGGATATTAGTGGCACACTGATGTAAATGACAAATTGTTTGAAAAAAATCATTAAAATGCTTCACAGCCTTTGTACAGGAGAACTTCTCTTCACACCCTAGAACTGGCTTCTGAGGTAAAAAGCACGTTCCTACCCATGTCTCTGGTTTTAGGTGTTTCATAGGCAAAAAGATGCTAATCTTATTTAACCAGAGGTTTAAAGAGACATGCTCCTCAAAACCATAGTTTCTACACTCATTTACAGCACACAATCACGAAAATATAACAGATGTGAGGTCACTGTAGGATTATAGAATCTGGACACATGGTTATTTCTAGTTTAACAGTACCCAAAATTTTGTCTATTAAGTAAAAGTCTTCCTCTTACCATATGAACAGTTTGGTGAGGAAGGAAGCTCACCTCTTCTTCTTCTTCTTCTTCTTCTTCTTCTTCTTCTTCTTCTTCTTCTTCTTCTTCTTCTTCTTCCTCTTCCTCTTCCTCTTCCTCTTCCTCTTCCTCTTTCTTCTCCTCCCTCCCTCCCTCCCTCCTTCCCTCCCTCCTTCCTTCCTTCCCTTCCTTTTTTCTTTCTCTTTCTCTTCCTCTTCCTCTTCCTCTTCCTCTTCCTCTTCCTCTTTCTCTTTCTCTTTCTCTCTCTGTTTTCAAAGCTTTGCCACAGTTTTGGTGGACATCAGTGCCTCAGAATACCACATGAAAAATACTACCATGGGTGACCTACAACAGGTAGTTTTGTCTCTGTGACTGAAGTGAAGAGGCTCTTACTGGTGGCAGGAAATTCAAATATGAGCACGAGATGATTTCTCTGCTTCACCCGGTAAGACGAGATGGGAAACTTCTCCACTGATAACAATTTCAGCAAAGAGGCGCTGGGGTTGAAGTGTGATTCTGGCATGGATCTGTCAAGACAGGCAGCTTTATAAGCCATGCTTTGTAGCCTTGACAGAAAAACTGCTTGTGTTCCATGCCAATCACTCAGCCTTCGTCAACTCAATTGGACATCCTTTGAGAGAGGGTATCCATCTCTACTGACATCCAGAATATATAGTGTACTGTCACCATGGCCCCAGGGGTGAGTGTACACTGGGAACTTGCCTTGCAGGTCCTGTGGCTACCATTTAACTCTTAGCTAATTCATGTGACTTGGTGTATATGGAAAGTGGGGAGAAGACCATTTTATTGATTTCATGGCAAGTGTGATTAAATAGAAGTGCTGGCTGGTGTTTTGGGTAGATACCTGTTAAATAATCAAATGTTACTTGTTCTTAAGGGAAGTGAAGGGCGCAAGCTTCATCCACAATTACCAAGATGGCAGTGTCTCTGCATAAAACCCCTAACCACATGCAGTCTATAGGAATGGCAATACAGTAAGAGGTGATGGGAGACCAAAGTGATCAACAAAGGGTGTCGTATTAATAGGCACTGTACAGTGATTTTGACTGTTTTTTTATACTATCTTCCTACCTGTGGACAGCACGGCATGTGGCCACCATTTAGTAAATGTTGTGACCAAATTGCTGCCAAGAAGACTCCAAAAAAAAAAAGAAAGAAAGAAAGAAAGAAAGAAAGAAAGAAAGAAAAGAAAAGGAAAGAAAAGAAAGAAAGAAATCCTTTTTCCCTTCTACCCACTTGGCACTCAATTGAGCCATCACTTCTGCAGTGGGTTGAATAGTTATTTTTAGTTAATCTTTATTGAGTGCCATCAAGCATGGTATTTTTAATAGGAGATTAAACATCTATCTTCATCTTTTAAATGTCTCTTCAAAAAAATGTATTTTGAATGTGAGCTTTCCAGTCCATAAATCTGAATACCATGGTGACCATGGTGTCTGATTTCCCAGGGTGTGTGCAATGCTCTACCTGAAGGTTGAACATCAATGATTCCTGAATCTTGGGTACATTTCTTCTCTGTACTGATGGTATTTGGAGTAGCAACGCTGGGACAAAAAAAAATTTTGATACACCTTTGTATCAAGTTATCTAACTTTATTTCAGGAGTAATCAAGAATTGGAAGGCACAGAGGCAGTATTTATATTGTTTGTAATGGCATTTTAAAAATAAAGTAAATATAAAAGATGAAAAATTGTTTTCATTCAGACACATGTTATATATTATCTTTAAGTACTTAAAGAAAATCTGGATATTTCAAAAATGAAATAAGCTACTTAATTACAAAATCTGTATTATTTTTAGATATCATTATATCTCTGTGTTGTTGGCTTGCATTATTGAAAGTCACTCCTGCTCTTGTTGGCTGTAAAACCAGAATGGCAAATGCCCATTGAACAACATCTCCTTAGGAGCCTGTGATTAAAAGCCTTGACAGGATTAACCCCCAAACCTCATTGTTAAAAATATTGTCTTCCTTCACTGAGTATGTTGATTTTATTTTCAACTTTATTAGAACAAAGATAAAAAGAATACCTGTCTTAATATGTTGGCTTTTATAGATGTAGTTAATATAAAACCAGATATTATATCTATGTGTTTATTTCTTAAATATTACTGATTATAATTTTATTTTCAATGTAAGAAAAACAACCCTAAGGATTCTTTGTTAGTTGAATAAGGCAGAATCTAGCCTCTGTTACCTATCATTCCTCAGGCTCTACCCACCTGGACACTCTATTTAGTACCTATGGCAAAGTAGGATGGGGCCTGCTTCCAGTGGGTCTCTTACTGCAGCCGTACTGAAACCCCACATTTCATCACTACCTGCCCTTCAGAAATTCTCCAAAGCATGTCGCATTTGGCAAATGTGCAGAAGACCACAATCTTTCCTTGTTCCTCCTGTATCCTGAAGGGCAGACTAATGCCATGCCATGGCTGACTGATATTTCCTTCTTTCTGTCTCTAGGTCCACTCCTCCACCTTTCTGGGTTCACAGTGTTCTTCCTTCTATCAAGATTAACCACCACTCTCCTCTCTTAACCTGGTGGGGATATTACCATTCGATCACAGGAAATCTGGAGGGGCTTATTATGTCCTTGTTTTGAGAACTATAAGGCAGTTAAGGGACCCTACTGCAGCTAATGTTTGACTTTGTACAATTGGCCTACTTACTGTCCTCTGTAGTCATGAGCGGAGTCCAAGCACTGTACGCACTGCCAAAGCCATTGGTGGCAACCAACCGAAACTCATACACTGTGAACGGCTGGAGATCAGTCACTTCATAACTTAACGATGCAGAAGGAACGGGGAATAATCTACTTGGAAAGAAATGACCATTAGGAAGGTTTAGAGATCAAATAATTAAAACAAACAAACAAAAAGAATCAGTCAAATTATACTGCAAAAAGTATTCAGATATACCAACATAGATTTAAGTAGTATTATTTTAGTCCGTTACATTATATCTGCTTCAGAATAAACAGTCATTGGGAGAGACGTTTTTCTCTTATGTTACTGAGGACATAAATCCTGCTTGCAAGGAGGACAGTGCCTGTTCTGAGGGCATTAGGGACAGTCGTACAGTTTCTTCACTGTTTAGTCCAGTTTAAAGTTCCAGTTCTATTCCAGTGTGTGACATTTGTATTCATGACAGGCTTAAGAATGTGAGGAAATGTTGCTTTCTTTGCTATGAAAACAAATACTAGATTTTTATTTTTTTTTGCAAAGCAAATTTATACCCACTAAGACATTTGTTCATGTTTTACTTCATTTGAAATTTTAAAACATCGCATTCTGTTGCAAACACTAACCAACCCGCTCTTTGGTTCTCATTATTACAAGAACATTTTAAAAAATACGGACACCGTATAAGCCAGCCCATCGGAAGAGACATAAGTGGAGCGCTCACTCTAGAAGGCCGTGGGTGGAGGGGCCAGGCCTCATCTGGAGCTGGTATCTGGGAGAGCCCGGAGCGTTGTTGCGAGCTGGTGTAGACCAGACAACCTGAAGACTGGTTGGAGTGGCAGCTGCAAGCCTGGGAGACAGCAGGCCATCTGGAGCTGTCGGGAAACACGGATGAATTAGAGCAGAGAAAACTGTAGGGACATATGCTGGGTGGAGTGGAAATGTTCCGCACGCTGGAAAACTGTTCCTCAGGATCAACAGCGACGTTAAACACGGTCCATTTAATTTAACATTTTCGTTCCTGAAGCGCTGTACTTCCTCCCTGTTCATATCCGCAATGACGTCAGTGCTTCAGACGTAAATGTCCAAGCTTCCAGATGAAAGAATCTGGAGCCCGTTCCCACACGTACTTCTGTTAATCTAATTGAAAGCACAGAGGAAATGTAGTGAAGCAAGCATCGAGTGCTTTTAATTTAACCCGGTTTTAAGCAAACTGAGTGCTGACACTGTCCGGGTTTTATGCCTCTGGCTTATGTCACCTGTGGTCCCTTAACTGTAGCACTAACTGGACACAGTGGGCCATGTTGCTTCTCTTTGGAAGGATAAGGAGTTTGCTGATATGGTACTTCCCTGTAATGATTTCACAATCCGATCCTTAGTCTTCCCAAGAAAACATGAAAACTAAACTCCTTGCTTATTGTGTTTCCCACAGTCTGAAGCCTTTTCACACTGCGCTGTTCTCACTAACATGCTGAGATTTTACCGACTGGGAGAACTCACTGGAAACTCTTGATGAGCACAATAGGGACGAGTAAAAATAAAGCCTTTTCTTTAAACATGTTTTGACAGGATTATTACAATTATTTAATTTTCTCAACGACTGGAATTTGCATGAATCAGTCACATCGTTTGCTGTAAGACTCGTCGGAGACACAAAAAGAGATTAAACAGAGCTCTAGACTTCAGGAAGATCATCGGATGACTATGTTTTCTTACCTTTAATTCAGGGATAGTTTTCCCTGATGGGTACAAAAAAAATTACACTATGTATCAACAGAATACCTTATTTTGAATTCTAGGAATCACTACCAACACCATCATCATTATCCTAATCACTACATTAGAGCTAAACTTTCCTTAGCATAACTTAATACTATGATATTATTTACTAATTCATGTTATTTAAGGTTATTTACTAACATTATAGTATTATATTGTTGATACTATAATGAAAACAAATGAAGTATTGGGGTCTGCTTTCAACACACACACACACACATACACACACACACACACACACTCACTTGGGACGTATGTGGGTTTTATGTGCCTTACAGCGCGGGAGACCCTGCCTGTGAACATGAAGCTAATGAACAGACAGCGATGAGGAGGGAAGAATTAGATTACATGTTTCATCAATCTTCAGTAAGGGCTTTGAGTTCATCAATAATTCATTCACTTGCTCAATACACATTTACGGAGGCTCTGCTCTGTGTTAAGTAGTGTTCTTCCCGTGGAGGGGTAAGCAGCACTGAGTGAAACAGGTATCACCCTGTGGAGCACATGTGTAAGTGCGGGGATTAGACAAGGAAAAGATGCAGGGACAGATACTGGACAACGGTGAGAAGCCTGGAGGAATGAACTCTAAACAGACAGACTACAAAACATGAGGCCAATGACGTGGCTTAGTGGGCAGAGACGCTTGCTCCTGAGTCTGTGACTGGCGACTCATCCCAAGAACCACGTGGGAAGGAAAGAATACGCTGCTGTTAGCTGTTCTCTGACCCCCAAGTATTTGGACCCCTTGTTACCCAGTGAATAAATAAACATAAAAAAAAAACAGCCTGAGACATGAATGAACACGGGAGTACAATACAGTATGTAACTTTATTGGATAATGTTTCAGGTCAGTTTCACAGGAAGGGCATGTAGTCAAGGGATATTTGAGCAGAGACCTTAGGGGATGTGAGAGATGGCCATGAGGATGGCTGTGAAGAGAAGAGAAGGAAGCCAGAGAGCAGGGGAAGCTCTGCGGGAGCTGATAGAGCCACTCTGCCCAGCGTGGTTGGGTGGTTGGCGCAGAGGGCAGGGGTGGAGGGGTGGGGGTGGAAGACAAGGACTCCTCCTGAGTGAAATTCAAATCCTAGGAAGGGCCTAGGATCTCCTCTCAAACAGGCAATGTGTTTGGTAAAGAGAATGGAACAGTATGATTAAAAGCTTAAAGGTCCCACGGGGGGTGGGGGGTGAGGAAAGGGGTGGGGAGAGCGTGAGTAGAAACAGACGCCATTGTTGAGGTAAGCCCGATACACAGTGGCAGCGGCTTTTGCTTCAGCAGTAAGGATGATGGCTGGGAGACACGCTGTCACCTGGCTGGGAGTGTGTTGTCAGTAGAAAGTAAGGAAGTCAAGGGCAGTGTTACCATTTTCAGCCTGGACAACTGAGTGACTGGTAACCTCATTCCTGAGCTGATAGGCGCTGAGGTGGAGCATAGGCAATGGGGGAGGGTTGGTACAGAGGGGTGTCTCACCCATGTAATCCATGGGGTACAGGTAATGGGGGGTCGGGTGCTACAGAGCTCTGTCTCACCCATGTAATCCACCATGTGTGTACTGTGTGGGATTTTTTAGTAGAGAGAGGAAGACATTCCATATATCTGGGTAGAGATTATGGATTCATGGCTTTTAAAGGCTGAGACCTGTGAATCTAACTAGAGTCTTGGGGCAGAGAAGATGAATACAGAAGGTGGACGTGTCCTAGAACCCGAGCCCGGGAATCTACCCGTAATTTGGGTTTAGGGAGTAGGAAGAAGATGAAGAGATGGTACCAAGGTGTTAGATGCCAAGGAAGGAAGACTCAGCAAAGGAGAAGAGAAAGGCTGGTCCCCCGTGCCAAGTGCACTGAGAGCTGGGGGACTGGCTCTCGGCACACTTGCTACATATTTTTAGCCGGTTTTTAACAAGTGCATACATACAAAATGCTACAAAACAGACAAAAATTAAAATTTAAGACTCACACTGGCTGTAACATAAAATTATAACCCTAATTTACTATTTTATCTAATTCTTCTAGACTGAGGGATGTGCCATTCACTGAATTCTAAAGGGAATATTTGTTTGAAGACATAAGCCTGGAAAAATAATCAGTTTTAACATGCGTACTAAAATCCCTCCGTGCCTGAGAGCTACGGTACTGCGCAGCTTGGAGACAACCCCGAAGAGTCCTCCATAATCTTCAAGTGGTGCACAGTCTCTTCTGACCCACCAGGCAACAACGTGTTCATCAGCTTCTCACACTTCAATTATACAGAGCTACAACACGTTTGCCAGGGAATGGCCGTCTTTCATGATTTCTACACGACTCCCCCTCCCGAACGCCTTCTTTCTCTCTGCTTGGCCCCTTTTATCCCGGGCCCATTTCCTCAGAGGCTCCTTTGCATGAAAGCAATAACTGGGAGCCAGTCATAACTCCAAGCCTGGTTGCCAACAGGAGTGCCCTGTATCTATCTGCTTGATATATTGTTCCCAGGATGCCATGTTGCTCAAAAAGCCTCTCTCAAGTTTCATACGACCCTCGCGGGGCAAGCATGCTACAGACAGCCTCCTGAATCAACACATCCTGCCCAGTAAATACTAATTCTACATGGCAATCGGAGAAAACAGCTACCCCCAGCTATAAATCCACAGGAAGCGGAGTTTTTAATAAAATTTCAAATTCAGCCTTCTTTCGAAGGCAAAAAAGAGAATACAGAGGGTGGGAAGTAAATCACACACTGAACGAGTCAAGATGGTGCAATTTGGAATACATGATTTTATTAAACTTTAAAAATAATAGACTTTTGGACACAGCCTTAAAAAAAAAACAGCACCCCATTCAAACAAGACAGGTCACACTTGCCCTAAAGCTTTGGTTCTTACACATTTATAGAACCCTGTGGGCTGCATCTACACAGCAAATGTCGAGTTTGCTGTTCTTCATATAGGTGACTGCTAAGTCTGTCAACACCGAAAGGATAAGGGATAAGGAGAAAAAGAATTCTCCAAATTTCCCTTACACATAAGTTTTTATCTCTCTCTCTCTCTCTCAGTTTCAAAAGAGTGTATTCAAATACCGTATTAAGTTGCCAAAGAAACCTATGTTTATTTGCACTAAATTAAGATAACTCATACTTGAATCATCAAACACGGAGGAATCAAGCTGGGGTTCACCCGGAAGCTTCCTTCCTCCTGCCCAGCCTTCACAGTGCTGGGAGGCACTACACATGCTCTCAGAAGAGAGAAGTAATCACAGATATGCCCACAGTGAAGACTGCCTTGCCGAGACATGCACACTGGTGCCAAAGTTAGAGGAATGTCATGGGAGTAACCAGGGCAACCAGCCACTTTCTGATTGGATCTGAGGCCTCCTCAAGTTAAAACACACCTGACCAAGAATCTGTGGCTCAACAGGCCACAGCTCCAGTGGATCATCCACTATTACTCTGCTAAGTGGGCAGCATTTTAAACTGACTCCCAGTGAAATTACTGTTACCATGGTTTACTGAATCTCTCAACCTTAATCATAGAAATGTAAAACCCATGTAATCACAAGTCAGACAAAATCTCAGCATGGAGAAGGGAGGCAGGCATGGAGGCTCACCCCTAGCGAAGTTAACTATTGGTAATCGGTAGTTGCTGAGGTAGAGGGAATCAGTTTTCTTTAAGGCATGGTCACTGGTAAGTTGACCACCACCCGATGGGGGAACCACACATTCGTGGGCCACAGTAACCTTACTTGATGGATTTACGGATGTGATAGCAAATACTATTCTACATTAAGGACGTTTTTGCTGGTGGAGGAGAAGGCAGAGCATGTGCAAAGGAGGACTCTGTCATCAACCTTCTGTGTGGTGGGTAAGACAGCCATTGGCATCATAACCACGAAGCGTGCAGTCAATACAATGGATGACCATGAGCACTGGAGGGTTCAGAAGTTCCCAATGTCCAGGCTGTACTGCGCCTCACTGTGCCATTCAAAGAGCTGGGGATTATTTAGACACTGCCAAGGGTCCTTTGCCATAGGTGACTTGTCTAGGTTAATCAGGGTCTCCACCTCATTCCGGTTCAGGCTTCACCAGAGCTTTCTGCGCTCTTTGAACTAACGTCCTGGTTTCATGCTG